TCAAAAGGATCCTGTGTGTGCAAACTGAGGGATTAATCCCCGGAATATCCCCTAAAGACCATCCTATAGCCCCTTTATGACTCTTCAATACAGAAATCAATCTTTCTTCTTCAGAACTACTCAAAGAACTGGAAATAATAACAGGCAATTTAAAATCAGCAGCAAGAAAGACATATTTCAAATTAGAGGGGAGGGGTTTCAGTTCTAAATCGGGAGGTTGCACAACAGAAGGAACTAATTCTTTTATGTCAAGTGCATTCAATGCAAGTGGCATGTCCATATGGCTTAGGGAAGGAGATATAAGCTCATCATGATATGTATGTCCTCCTCCACTTCCCAACTCAGTGCCATTCTTGGATGACCTACAAAAAGAAGGATCGGTATCAATTTTATCAACAGAAACATCAAGTAAATCACAAGGAAGAGTGGGATTAGAAGTGACTAAGTGAGTAGCAATCTTTTTGCTAGCCTCTTCTAATGTTCCAGCACCACTCAAAGGAGAAGCTATCGGTGTAGCTTGTGTAACAGCTCCTTTATCATCAGTTCCTGCAAAATCAACAAACTCGCCTTTCTCAAGGCTATCATCAAGTGTAATGTTCAAGGCAGAATCACAGTTAAGACAAGATGATGCATCAAAATCATGAGAGATGGAAAGGAGGTGATCAACTTCTAAACAGTTAACACACACCACGTCACCATAACATGAGCAAAAAGAAGAAGAATGAGGGGTAGATAAACAAGTAAATGCATCATCATGCTCAACAATCTCACCATACCAGTCATGTTCATGCATCTCAGATTCATGCAAATCATCAACATCATTAACAGCACAATCAATCAAATTAACACCCAAGTAAGAGCAATCTGCATAACCTTGACTCATAGCATCAGAAATGTTGAAGGTAATCTGTTGGTCCCCAAAACCCATGGTAATGACCCCGTCTTTCACATTAATTATGGTTTGGGCTGTTCTAAGAAAAGGTCTTCCTAGAATCAAAGTGCTATCGGCTTTAATCTCATCAGTCATATCTAGCACATAAAAGTCAGCTGGGAACACAAGACCCTTCACTTGCACAAGAACATCCTCAAGAAAGCCCTTAGGATGTCTCACAGTCCTATCAGCTAGACCTAGCACAACACTGGTGTCTTTCAAGGCATGAATACCCAAACTCTCATAGACAGAGGTAGGCATAACATTTATGGCTGCACCTAAGTCTAGTAAGGCATGTGAAATGTTTGTTTTGCCTATGGTACAGGGAATAGTGTAGGAACCCGGGTCTTTACACTTAATAGGCAGCTGTGGCTTGAAGATAGCACTAACACTAGACCCCAGTTGGATTCTCTCACTATGCCTATACTTCCTCTTGTTTGTACATAGATCTTTCAGAAACTTAGCACACTTAGGCATCTTCTTAATCAAATCAAGTAATGGCACATTAACCTCAAGTTTGCTAAACATTTCAAAAAGCTCATCATTATCTTTCTTTTCAACAACTTTCTTACTCATGAGATATGAATGAGGAAAAGGCAAGTCAGAAATATTTACCTCATCACCTTTGGAAGATGATCCTTTCTCTATTGGCTCTTTGGATTGAATGGAGGTCTCTTGAGTGGCCTTGGGAATGTCTTGAGTGGTTTTAGAAGGAGGAGACTCAACTTCTATCTCTTCATCAACCGGTTCTTCACCCTCTTCATCATCTTTGAATTGCACTGTCTTAGCACCAATTTCCTTACCGCTTCTCAATGTAATTGCATTCAAAGATTTAGGATTTATCACCGTGTTGGAAGGCATTGAACCACTAGCCTTAGCTTGCTGTTCACTCACACCATTTGACAACTTAGTGACATAAGAAGTCAAATTAGAGGTTCTAGTTTCCCATTGCTCCATCCTATTCTCTAGGGCTGCAAATCTAGCTTCAGATTTAGCTTCAGACTTAGATATGTGCTCAGTCATTGCCTCAATGCCCTTGAGTATTCGAGAGAACCGCTCATCATCCTTAGACTGTGATTGCTGTGGGGTAGACATGGCTCTAGAAGATTCTCCTTGTAACCCTCCATAGTAAGTTTGCCCTTGAGGAACCATATTCCCTTGAAACCCTTCTTGAACCTGCCTATTGTCACCTCCTCCCCATCGGAAATTTGGATGAGCTTTCCATCCTTCATTATATGTGTTTGAGTATGGGTTCCATTGCTTGGATTGATTGGCCCTTCCTTGATACATGGCAGAAACTTCCTCATATCTATGAGGGCAAGCAGCAGAGATGTGCATAACAGAATTACAATGCTCACAACTAGGTGCAGTCATCTCCATAGAATTAGGAGTCCGAGTGTCAACAGGGGGAGTGTGAGATGCAAGCTTATTCAACTGTGTAGTCAAAGCAGCAATTTGAGAAGTGAATGTGTCCAATTGAGGAATGTGGACTGAAGAAGGATTAGTATGCATTGCATTGACATTTTTAGACTCCCTGATGCTATACTGTTGATGGTTCAATGCCATTTTCTTGATAAGTTCCCATGCCTCCTCAGCAGTTAAATCAATAAGAGAACCCCCAGAAGCAGCATCCAACATCCCCTTATCTTGGGTCTTAAGTCCATCATAAAAGTATTGGACTAACTGCTCATCTGGAATCTGATGGTGTGGACATCTAGAAAGCAAGTCCTGAAAACGGTTCCAGTAGTCATAAAGTGACTCATCATAATCTTGCTTTGCAGAGTAGATCTCTTTTCTCAATGTAGAAGTCCGGGAAGCAGGGAAATACTTCTCCAAGAATGCTTTTCTAAGGTTGTTCCAGTTATGGTAAGCATCTGCCATATAACTAGGCAAGCTCATGTACCATTCTCGTGCTTTGCCCTCCAGAGATAAGTGGAATACCTTCCAAAGAACCTCATCCAGATCAGCCCCAACCGGCTTCATGCTAGCACATACCATAGAGAGAGATTTCAGATGTTTGTACGGGTCCTCACCTGTCAAACCATAAAATTTAGGCAAATTATTAAGCAGTGGACCTTTAATCTCAAAATTAACATCAACATTAGGGCATGCAACATTAAAAGGATCATAATTTGCATCAGAAGTAGTGGCTTCCCTAATAGTTCTTCTTCTAGGGTTATCTCCATTATTCTCTTCTATTCTGTCATGCTCCCCATTATGTCCATTGCCCCCTCTCTCATTACCACCATTGTTGTTACCATTAGGATTATTAACTGTTTCCATTATGTCACCTAAGTCAACCACCAAATCTAGATCAGTTAAATTGTCTAATTCAACCTCACTAGTCCTTTCTACCCTTGAGTCTTGTCTAACTTCTCTTAAAGAACTTTGAAGCTCAAGATTGGAAGGAACTAGGGTTTTAGACCTACCCTTTCTTGGCATAAACAATCAATCAACCAGAAGCAATAAAACAAAAGAAAACAGATGAATGCAATGCAATGCAAGTGTATGCGTATGAGAATGAAAAATGCAATGAATGAAAAATCAAGATATTTAGTTGTATTTTTAAATTTTTTTTTTTATGCAAAGAAAGAAGAAAAAAAAATGCTATGAAAAATCAATAGAAACAAATGCAAACTACTAAAGAAAATGCAAAAACTAACAAAAATGAAAACTAAAAAGGCTCAACAAATGAACCCCAATCAAGGCTACTTGACACTTAATTACTAGGGAACCAATTTCTTGGCTCCCCGGCAACCGAGCCACCTCGAGTTGCCACAAAATATTTTCCTAAAATCCCAACTTACTAACTGCAACCAGAATAGTAAAATGGGATTAAGGATGCTAAAAACCAATGCTTAATTAGAACTCTTAAATCAAAAAATAACAGAATTAAAGCTAGCAAGAGACTATTTGATCCAAAATTCTAAGCCACCTTAGAAAATCACAATATATTAATTCCAAAATCAATACAAATGTCATAACCACAACATTATAATTGAAATCAAAACTATAAACAGCCCAATGTCAAATACTAAGCAATAATTCAGTCACAATAATCTCCAAATATATTCAGATTAAGCAATACAAGTATCCCAACAATCAGAAAAACTATCCTAAGACCTAGGAATTGTTAAACAATTATTGAGTAAGAAATTAAAGCAACTAGAACTCCCCCTTGAAGATCCAAGCTCCTGCCATTATTGTTGAATTGGAGAATCATGAATTAGCCACGGTTTGCCATCAAATTCGCTGCCACCAGCAATTCTCTATTGCAAGCTTCCATGGAGGAGATGACGCCGTCGAGCTTCCTTTGGTCCTCTGATTCTGTCGCAACACGGAGAGGGAAAAGATGATCGCCGTCGCTGGTCTCACTGGTTCGTCTCCCAGCTCCTGCTTCTCCCCGTCACGAGCTCGTGTTCGGCGCGCCTCCTCTTCGTGTGTGCTCTGTTCGCCGCCCAAAGCTTGCTCGTGTGTTGCTCTCTCTCCGTCCGTGCCTGTGCGTGTATCAGCTGGTGTATCTCCTTCTCCAGCCGCCAGCTCCCTCCCGTGTTCAGCTTGCTCTGTTTCGTTCTATTCTCCCTGCCGCCAGCTCCCGTCTCTCTGTTCCGTGTTCAACTTGTGTGTCTTCCGCCAACCAGCTCTCCTCTGTTTTATTCGACCGCCAGCACGCTCCTGCTTCGTGTGTCTCCGTCCCCGGGTCTCCGTTTCCAGCTGATGATGATTATTAGGTTGGGGCAAAACGCAACGTTTTGCCCCCAACTTATTATTATTATTATTTTTTAATTTAATTTTCTTTTCTTTTTTTTTCTTTTTTTCTTATTTTTTTTATTTTTGAATCTTCCAAGAACCTGCAAGCAAAATTCAAGGATAAGGTAGCATTAATTGTCCTTAAAAATCAATTAATCATAATTAAATCAAAACATGACAATTTTGCCCCTATAAAATAATAATTCAAAATAAAACAAAATAAATCAAAGAACAATCAATTAAGGCAAAAAGGGACCAATTAAGTTGACAAAACCCATATAAAAGATACCAAAATATATAAAAATAATTGAGTTTGTCACTCAGTTATGTGTACGCTGTGTTTTACTGTCATAAAATGGAGACCACAAGAGCCTATACGGTGCCGTTGCAGGGGGAAGATGGAAGTAAAGTGAATGCAATGGCTATATGTCATACAGACACATCAGGATGGAGCCCAAAACATTTGGCCTTCCAAGTGCTCAAAGTGAAGCCAGGGAGTGTTCCTGTGTGCCATTTCCTTGCTCAAGGAACTGTTCTCTGGGTCCCCAGACAAACCCCTAATTAGCATCATTCTCATTGATGTGCTTCATCACAAGCAAAACTACTAAATAAAACTAAGGCTTAATCCAGTATTTGCAAGAACTAGCTAAAGGGAAATAGAGTGGTTGAAATCACATATCGTCTGGTGAATTCCAGTAATCTCAGTCATTTTATACTGTGAATAAGATCGTTAGGAATAACGGTCACGATAATTTTAGAGAATGAATTCAAAAAGTTGAGTTCTAGTTATCCCATAAGGTAAACCACAATAATCCCTTTGATGCTTCTAGTGATTGATCCACTTAATTGAACTATTTGTTTTGCGAATTTTCTCTTCTAAATTGATCTCTCTCTTTTTATTTAATTGAACTTCTGTGTGGACTAAATATTGATCAATTTGACTGGTAAAAATAGAAACTCCTTATGGTTCGTTCCCAAAATACTCTTTGAACTATTTCTATAATCTTGTATGATTGTAAGACCGATAGATTTTGTTGCAATTGACTTTGCGTTTTAGCCCAAGGAATTCAAACATGAAGCTCTTTGTTTATAGTAAGTAGCATTAAATTCACAAGCCATGACGAAACCATATGGAATTTTCACTTCCACGGTTTCAATGCTTAATTTGTTGTTCGTTCCCTTTGGAGTAGAAATCTCACCAGAGATATATATATCCCAGCTTTCCACAACCTTCAGTCTGGAGCTTCATGGGTTGTTTCATTAAGTCGCTAATTTATCATTTTTAATAATTCCAAAATACCATGTGACTCCTCCACCAGTTGCCACGTGTCCATGCTAACTATTAAAAAAAGTAGCATGGCCTCCTTGAAGTATCCTAAAACTGATAATTTTAGCCATTGAATGTATAGATGTACCAATTACTCGTCCATATATATGTGCAGACTCCAGATGTAAATTTCACTAATTTAGAAGTCATGTTGGTGGAATGATATGTGGCAGGACTTGGTTGGTTGGTTGGTTGGTGATGGATTTAGAAATGTAGACGCCTCAATTAGCTCATATATTTAGGATTTAGATACTTTTTTACTCAACTCGAAATAATATTTACGTAGACAAGAAAGCTTTTTTAGTTTGATTGGGGGGAAAAAAAAAAGCCGCCGGGGGAGGGGGGCCAATTTCTTCATAGTGCTAATGGGTATATATCGTATCTGCTCTTATTCCACCGCAAATTTATTTAGCATAAATTCATAACTAGTCTTATAAGACTACTCATTATTTTTCCCTAGACACGGGTGTCCTCCTATTGAAAGTAACTTTGTTTGAAATGTGGGTATCTCTCCTGATGGAGATTCAACCAATACATTCAGAGCAAATCTAAGGATGAAGCACAATATAAGAGACCTAAAACCGGATATATGAAATATCTTGTAATCCTTGAAGCCCGCCTTCAAGAACAGTTGCTTCCATTCTTGCTCAGATCTTGCTTTTGAATTAAGCTCAGCGTTCAAGACAATGTTGGTTAAGAGCTTTGTTTCTAGGATTTCATTCTGGTCATGTTCTTCATTCAAGACCATATCTATGATTATCACTTTTCCTTCATTGCCTTTGCCTGAGATAGCTTCCTTCGCATTTTTAAGTATCTTTATGCAGTCATCATCACCCCACCCCAATCAAGTAACACCCACTGTAAAGGTGAAAATAGTGTGAATAAAATAGGCAACAATTTAACATTCATAGTTCTTCATTTCCTAATGATAATAATATGCAATTTACTCCCTCTGGTCCTTTTTAGACAAAAAAAAATATGGAAGTGTTATTGTCCTTTTTATAAGAAACTTTAAATTAAACTTCTTTTAGAAACACCAATGACTTTTTTTTAAATATCCTTAATTATAGTGAGAGACAGGGCTACACCAATTTGATAAACTTTATTGATGAAGGGTAATTTTAAAAAATAATTCAGATACGGACATATTTATTAAAAAGAGTAAATAATTTTAACTTTTTTTCTTGATCTGTGAAAAAGTTGTTCAACGTTTTTCAAATAAGAAACGTAGTATGATGTTCAGCTAACTTGACAACGTTGGACATTATAATAAAAGCTACAGCTCTCATGATCTGGACATAGTTGAAATAGCTAGTTCTGACATAGTATAAAGAATTTAACTTGGCCCTTCTTTAAAAAAAAAAAATGATCCTCTTCAAATGAATTTACGTAAAGTTGGGGAAAGAAAGGCAGAGAGTAGACTGGATCCGTTGAATTAACGATATAATAATTTGTTCCTCTTGTTCCGTACCTCCATTCCTCCCTCACAAAATTAAAAATATGATAAAAGCATTAATCGCAAAATATTTAATTAAAAATAGAAACACATATGCGTGTGAATTGAAATTCATAACTAAATGATTTGATCTAAAGGGGAAAAACTTGGGAAATTTTGTGTGTGTGTGATATAAAATTGATATATAACGTATTTCTTGTGTATAATTTAAGTAGGAAAGTGTATTGGGTTTCGAAAAATTATACATATACCTTAATCGGAGCTGCATCAGCTTGAGAGATGGATTTGAGCATATCTCCACCAACAAAACTCAAATTGGTGTTCCCAGATAATTTTGCTACAGTCTCAGAAGATCAAGCACTGCGTATTTCAATTTGGGGAATGCTTCGCATATTCTCTTAGCTGTGGTCCCATTTCCACCACCAACATCAACAATAGAACCCAATCCGTCCAAAACAGAATCCAAGCCTTTGATCAGTGCCATTTTCAAGAATCTAGAATCATTAGCCATTGCTTCTTGGAAGGCTGCCAATTCTGCTGGGTTTTGCTTAAGAAAGTCACAAGGGCTCATACCAGATATTGTCTCTCTGACTGAATTTTCCTTCTGATGAACCCATTTCCCCAAGTGATTATGCAAATAAATCATAGTAGGGTTTACTACCAATTGAACCATTGGAGATAAACAATGATCTGTGCCACTCACAAGAAGTTTTAATGCAGAAGTGAGATCATATGCCACTTCACTTTCTTCTTCTTCTTCATTGTTGGTTCTTTTGATGATAGTGAAGAGGCCATTGTGAGCTAGCAACTGCATGAGCCCTTTCACAAAGGTAGCTTTAGAGGGTGGAAGTTTGAGGGTTGATACCAACTGAGAAAGAGGGATGGGTTGGCCATGTTTGTAGATTATGTTTGGTATTTCAAGCTCAATGGCACATTTTAGACATAAAGAGGGTATCCAAAGATACATGACCTTATACAGTTGGGCTTGGCCATGAAACATCTCAGTGATTTCGTTTTCAGTTTCATCCATATGGATGGAGAGAACGTTGGAATTGCCTAATGAATTGTTGTGTCTTCCTTCGTATCCAATGTGCTGAACTATTTATAGATATAAATTTAAGTTCTTTATTTGTAGGGAATCATCCTTTTGCCAATTGTGAAACGCATCTAAACTTTTCTTGGAATTAAACATTTTCGTCTTATCTTTTTATAAATTAAAGAAAGTATTCATGTAATTAATTGTTAGATATGAATTAGTGCTGAGTTGTCTTTTGATTCACTTTATTGTTTGGAATTATGCTTTTGCCAATTATAAAAGATGAATCTAAGCTTTTGTTCTTGCAATGAGACATTAGCCTCTAGTCTCTTTACAAGTTGAAAAAAAAATGTTCATTCACTAAATGTGGATCCTTTTAATGAAAACATCGATAAAGTATCTTTGAAAGAGAAAACAAGCTGTTGCTACTCCATGTTATCCTTATTATAAGCCATTCTCAACAAATTTTCATATATCAAGGGATAGCAGATAAAGTGTTAAATTTTTCCTAAAATGTTTTTTTTTTTTTAGTTTACTCGCAACTTAAATGATGTAGATAATGAAACACGAAGTTCGAGGATTTTATTAACACTAAACCTTAATTAATAAGACAAAATTGAAAAGTAGTAATTAATGAGTTAGTTGATGACTTATATTTAAAATAAAAAATTGCTTTAAAAAATGCTTTATATCACTCCCTCTTTACCATGCCCTCAATCTTGCCGCCTTGATGAAGACAAAGTCGCCAACCTCTTCTTTGCATATCTGAATCAAGCACAACGTACAACATCTCGGCTTCTTTCTCATCTTCATTGATCCTGCCTCATCATCATCGCAACACGATGAGAGGAGGATCGGTCTCCTTGACATAGGATTCTTCCACCTCATATCCTTTGTACTTTCCTTTGACTAGAGGCTTCTCACTACAAAGAAAACATGTGATTACCGACGGAGGTTAGCAACAAAATTTTTATTTAGCAATGAATTACCAATGGAGACAAATTAGTGACAAAAAAAATTTCAATCACTAAAGTTTGCGATGCTAACTGAATAATTAATTAGAAATTAGCAATAAAATAATTTTTCATCAGTAATAAGTTTTTTTTTGTAGTGTTTGCTTTGTTCAAATTTTATATAAGTATTTTTACATCTTTATTCTTTATTATGCAAGTATTATTGTGATTGTAAAATAAGTCAACTTTCTATGTTTTTTATTCATTTAAACATATTCTCTACACTTTTTCTTTCTCTTTTCTTTGTCATCTCATTTTCTTTTTGTCCCAATTTTATCTCCTCATCCTACAAAACATAATAGGAAAAAGATGGATCATGATCCAAAGCCCTGTTCTCCAATGGGAGAATAGAGAGGCAATACTTCTGTGGAAGGATTGGACAATTGTGGCCAGGTGGATGATGAATTATTGAGCCTTCTTTTGCCTTTGTACGCTCTCTGACAGTTGAACTGTGTTATGGATGAGCGATTGATTTGATTGCCTTTGTTTTTCTTTTTTTCATTTCATTATATTATGGTTAGAATATGTAATATTCATGAAATAACATTTTTTGTTGGAAAAAACTTTTTAGTTTTTATTAAACTTGAGTGTTCTGCAGGAAATTATATTTAACAAGTCAATTGGATATTTCACGCAAATTTTTATGCATTAAGATTATACGAATTAAATCGTTGAATATATATAATTTTTGTTAGGAATTAAATTTAAGGAGAGTCATCAACAAAAGATGTTACCAGAATCTGCTTGGACATTTTGAGAGAAAATGGATAAAAGAATTAAGAGCAGAAATGTAATCAGCCGTATTTAAAAATGTTAAAAAGTCATGTTTCTCTAAAGATGATAGCTTTTTCGTATCAAAAGATACAGTATGATAATAAATAATATTATTTTGGTTCTTAATATATAACTCAGTTGACTAATCTGAAAAAATAAAAAAAATTAATAAATTACTTAATTAGAGTATATATTACATAATCTCTCTAAAATAATTAAGTGTATCATTATATTATATATTAATTTATAAATGAGGTAAATTATTTGGAGAAAAATGATAAATATAAGCAGTTTAAAATAATTTGATAATTTTCTTAATTTTTTAAAATTAGTTAACTGGATTTTATATTGAGGATAAGAGATAGTAGCTTAACACTGTGTTTGGTATGGGATTTTTAGAAAAGAGGGGAGGGGAGGAAAGTGGCTCCTCTTTCCTCGTTTGGCAAGAACATTTTTAATAGAGGGAAAGGAGCTGCTCCTATCCCCTCGTTTGGTTGGAACAATTTTTAAGGAGGGGAGGAGCTTCCATTCTCTCCTTTCTCTCTCTTGGTATCCTTTTCAAAAGTGGGGTTTTTTCAGAAGAGAGATGAAAGAGAAAATATTTAATTTCATAACCAGCCTTAGTAAAATAATATAATTTTTCTTTCATCCTCTCTTTGGCCCTTTAATTTCATTCTACAGTTTTCTCTCAATCTTACAATTTTAATAGCTCTAATCAACTCAACTTCATTCTCCCCTTATATTCAACAATTCAACTAGAAAAATTAAACTATTTAAAAAAATTTGTTAAAAAAATGAAATGATAAAAATCATTGGGACAAAAAAAGAATCAATGAAGAATTATAATATTTTTGAAAAAGTCAATATATAGTACAAACGAGGTCTTATAATTATGACCAAATGTAGTATTAACTTAAGCTAGATACTAAGCAATTTTTAATCTTTTAATTAGTTAAAAATTTAAAAATAAGGAAATAAAAGATAAAAAATGTAATTTTCCTTTTGAACCCAATAGAATCAACAAATAACATTGCGGAAAGAAATTTGATTTTAATTTTTTTTTGTTTTTCTCAATGAGTTGTGCTTCTAGCAAAAGCACAACCTAGTGTTTTTTTTTTAAGTTGATAAATTACCTCACGCATATTGATAAAATAAAAAAATAAAAAATTTTATTTAAATTTTATACGAGTGAAGTAGTTAATTTTTGAATAGCTCCTGTCCTTCCCCTCTTATATCAAATAAGATATCATTAAAATGTCTCAGCTTCCTTCCCTCCAATCAATCTAAACAAAGGATTATTAAAATTTCTCCCCTCTCCTCTCCTTCCTCCCCTCCCCTCTATATCTCTCATCCCTTCCCCTGCTCTCCTTTCCTCCATTGAAATCCTTCTCCTCTCTTTTCCTTTGTCGAACCAAACACGGCATAAAAGCTGTATGGAGAGTTGATTATTTGTCAAAAAAATTATATTACCAAATGTATAAATATTTTATACGCAAGGAACTGAATACGTGAAATTATCACTGAGGTTCATGGTCCTTTTATGCAAAAAATAAATAAGGTAGCCAATAGGGGGATTGGATTTAACAGAAAATATTAGTCCTTTATAATATGACAAACTAAGATTCGGGATTGGGAGAAGTACCCATATTAGTGCTTGATATTGGTTCAAATAGGATTGCCTCCAATAGAAAGATACTTATACTTAGAGAAAAAAAATGTATGAAGACTACATAGCTCGTATTAGATATTAGAACTGGAAGTGGTAAATCGTTATAAGCAAGCTAAGTGACAGTTTTATTATTTAACACTAAGATTACAATTATTTATATATTTATAACTGTCAGTTTCGGTGCTGTAGTTAACGCCAGGGCAATTCAATTTCCAAACATTATTTTCTTTTGCAAAGAAGGATGAAGAGCCTTCATAATAATTTCTTCTATTTTAGGTGTTTGAGAATTAAAAAAAATGCAAAATTTGTCCACGGTCATAATTTTTTTCCTTTTCTTCTTAGTAGATCATATGTTCCAAAATTGTATTCACACGCTTCAACAAATGTTTGAAAAGTTTATATACACTTTTCCAAAAAAGTTTATTAATTTAAAAATAAGTGGAAAGTGCTAATTTTTTATTTAAAAAATGTATTATTCTAATATTTTTTAAGGAAAATAAGTGAAAAGTTTCTGCTTAAAAATTTTGTTAGTTAGAAGAACTTGGTATGTTTTTATATATAGAAAGTATTGATATCCTGTAAAATTTCATACACGAGCATCAATACTCAAGTTCAGATCATTCTCATTAACAAAAATTTTTAAGTAGGGGATTTTGACTTGTTTTTCCCATTCTTTGATGTTGAAGAAAATGGGAACACTCGTAATATTTTGTTTTAATCAAAGTGAGCACTCATAATTGATTTAAGCTATAAAACAAAACAAAAAATGATGTGAGCTTTCCAAATCATATGGATATTGAGATCCGAGTCTGGGTCCCATACCTCACAGGCATAACAGTATTTTTGCCATTCTCCATATCTCCATCTAAATTCATCTTAGCTTCTCATTACTATCATAGACTCATTATTTGCAGTTTTAGTATCAAGTTTCTCTTATCATGAAGCTTTCACTCCTCCCCATCCTTGCACTTCTCACGGTGAGCTTCGACTTACTTTCACAATATGGATCCCAAAACTTCATGTGTTTCTGTTAGTGCATCCTTCTCTTCTTTCTTTCTTTTTCTTGGACTAATGAAACTATATTCTGGATGTGTATTGTATATTATCTATGAAATCTCAGGTTGCCCATGCTGCCATGCCTCCTGAACTCTACTGGAAGTCCATGCTTCCCAATACTCCCATGCCCAAATCTATCTCAGATGTCCTCCACTCATCAGCTGGTTAGTATTGTAGCTCTGCCTCATGGCTCTTTCTTTTACTGCAGTTGAAAAAGATTCTCCGCACCGGTTTTATAAAAAGTCTCACACCTTATTTATGAAAATGCTATCTGCCACACTTTTTACACCATCATCCCAATAGTCGGTACTCTTCCTGTCCTTAATATAGAATCTAATTGGAGAGTTGATATTGATCCTATATGTAAGACCTATTTCACATATTTATCACTTTTTTTTTCAAAATTAACCCCATTGATTTTTTTTTAAACAATAATCAAGTAGGATAGAAAGAGAAAAAATTAAAGGAGAAACTCAGGGTAT